GTTTAACAAATAAGGAAATAGGCTCCTTCCTTGTGTAGTCTGTAAAAACAGTTGGACAAATATATCCGATAAGTTGTTTTATCGGCATATCATCATCACAAATAAAATATCAGGACCCTGAAAAGATACTGGAAGCAACTGTAACTTTTGTGGCAGAGGAAAATGCTTTAGGGGTTCTCCTTTCATCATTTATGCGCAGGCGGAAGGCTTCTCTATGAATGTACATTTTCGTAAATTTATGACTTTATTCTCCTAAATTTACATGTTTATTCTCGTACATATACAAGATTAATCTCAAATATTTCTTTTTTTTCTTTAAGATGGCTCTACTCCATCGTATAAATGAGCCCTAAAAATGTAATTTTATTATGTAAAATGAAGGTTAAAAATTGTACTACTTGCAAATGCCCCACAGATGGGGCTATACGTATATATACTGCTAATGTCTACAGTACTAGTACTACTAGTTGACATTTAGGCCTTTACTAGTGCTACTAGTTGCACTAGTAGCACTAGTCGTACTAGTAGCACTAGTCACACTAGTCGTACTAGTAGCACTAGTCACACTAGTCGTACTAGTCGCACTAGTAGCACTAGTCGTAGACAGAGACAGAGAGAAAGAGAGAGAGAGAGAGAGAGAGAGAGAGACAGACAGACAGACAGAGACCCTTTTCTTGGCTCGGTGCCACTTCAGCTAGCACGGATAAGCACCTCCACTACTGTGGGTCTACCTGCTGAAGGTGTTTATAAACTGATGTCTCATTGTCTTAAGTCCAAGATGATTCAAATAAGTTGGCTGTGGCTCTAACTCTTGGGCAAGGAAGTGGCTGAGTACTCTTTCTCACTACAGCCTTCGCAACTACAATCGCCGCTGCAGCTCCGAGTGATAAACGCATTTAGTTCCGGAAAGTCTTTCACAATAAAAGTCCCTTATTACCATCTATGTGATGTGCTTTTATTTTGAAGCAGATGAATGAGGAAGTTGGGTCTTGTAAGCAGCTGCAACTTAACATATCTCAGATGTGTGAAAATAAATACTTAAAACCAAGAAGATTCAGTTAGAAGCTTCAGTATTTAATAGGTAAACAAACAGAGACTAAAACATCTAATATTTAAGCTCATACAGGTTCATTTTAAAACAATAAATGGATTATCTTTCATCTCAGGTTTAGTTGCAGCTACATCAGCCTTTGAGGCTGCATTTGAGACTAAAAATAAAAAAACTAAAAACACTAAAATACTCTACACTGTTTATGATTGAGACAAAGTCCCCTTTAGTATTTTCTTAAATAGTTTAAACATTTCCCTTCATAAAACAGCTGAATACTTGAACATATAATATATTATATAATATAATAGTAGAATATATTGGTATATCAGAAGAGCAGGAGCCGCCTGTTCGAAAATGATAAACGTGGAGCATCTTGTTATAGTAAAGGTTTGACAAATAAGGAAATAGGCTCCTTCCTTGTGTAGTCTGTAAAAACAGTTTGACAAATATATCCGATAAGTTGTTTTATCAGCACATCATCATCACATTGTCATAAAATATTAGGACCCTGAAAAGATACTGGAAGCAACTGTAATTTTCCAAAGAAAAAACCACACTGACTTGGATGAAACTGTCTCTTTTGTGGCAGAGGAAAATGCTTTAGGGGTTCTCCTTTCATCATTTTTTTATTCTCCTAAATTTACATGTTTATTCTCGTACATATACAAGATTAATATTTTCTCTTTTTTTCTTTAAGATGGCTCTACTCCATTGTATAAATGAGCCCTAAAAATTTAATTTTATCATGTACAGTAAAGGTTAAAAATTGTACTATTTGCAAATGCCCCACAGATGGTGCTATACGTACATATACTGTCTACAGTACTAGTACTACTAGTTGACATTTAGGCCTTTACTAGTAGCACTAGTCGCACTAGTCGCACTAGTAGCACTAGTACTACTAGTGGACATTTAGGCTCTTACTAGTAGCACTAGTGCTACTAGTGCGACTAGTGCGACTAGTGCTACTAGTGCGACTAGTGCTACTAGTAAGAGCCTAAATGTCCACTAGTAGTACTAGTGCTACTAGTACAACTAGTGCTACTAGTGCAACTAGTGCAACTAGTGCTACTAGTACTACTAGTGCTACTAGTAAGAGCCTAAATGTCCACTAGTAGTACTAGTACTGTACACATTAGCAGCATATATAAGTATAGCACCATCTGGTGGGCATTTGCAAGTAGTATCTTAATTTTATGCTTTAATCATAAAAACATGACTCCTCATATGATAAAATAAATCTTGATGTATGTTGCTTGTGCACTTATATCTGCTCACTGCCATATGTATCTTTTCTGCTGGGCTTACTCGAAGCTAAACCAAGAAAATTTAGCAAGTCCATAACATACCGATCCTGCAACTGACACCTAATGGCCGAAATGCATATCTCTCTGCAGCTACTTCTTGTATAAGGGTTATTTCTCCAGATGTAAGAGGCTGACTTTATATTTATAAAAAAAAACATTAAAACATCTTATTCACATTAGTTTAATAATTCAGTATACACTTGTCCTAAATCCTAATATTTTATTCAATATTTTGCATGATCATCTAGCAGATAAACTAAATATAAACACATTTCTTTCATGATTTAAAAAGAATATACTTAATTTTTCACTTTGCAAGTTTCAAACTAGTATATCTTTCATATTTTATATTGCCATATTTTCAATGGCAAGAAAAAAGCTAAAATCCTTGAACATTAATGTTGTGCAAGATTTTATTTTATTCAATCATACTACTATATATAAATATTAAGTGATGGGTTATTGTTTATTTTTTGACAAATACTGCAATAATGAATAATCATTAGTGATTTTTAGAACAAATAATACTAAGTTTAAAAAACAAAAAAGTTGAAAAGATGAATAACAATGTAACATCAGATTTGGATTTAATCTGTGCATGGGTCATAAAATTCTATCAAAGGGCATTCAGTGAGTTACCATTTAGTGATAATATAACATGACACAAATGAACAAACCTTCAGAAATTAGTGCTGGTTTAACCGAAGGTACTATTCAGATCTGGCCCTTTAAGGCTGGCAAAATCGCAGGTTTGACATTGACCAATCAAAATCCTTGTCCCGCCTGCTTCATTATCATGCGGTCAACTAGTGCTACTAGTACTACTAGTGGACTGCCAGTTGACCTTTACAAGTAAACTAGTAAGGACCAAATGTCCACTAGTTACACTTGTAAAACACATTTCGACTTTACTAGTAAACTAATGATGTTCAAAAAGCTTAACTAGTTTATTACTAAGGGCATAAATGTCACTAGTACCACTAGTTGCAGTCTAATTGACCTTACTAGTTAACAAGTAGGGCTCAAGATGTTTACTAGTAGTACTAGTGAAAGAAAAATGCACACTAGTATCACTACTTTGGTCTTCAAGGCCTTACTAGTAAACTAGTGAGGCTTTAAATGCATACTAGTTAACTAGAACGAGTCAAAATGTCCACTAGTTTACCAGTTAGACCATGTGTGACCTTGCTAGTTAACTAGTGAGGCCAAACACAGTTAACTAGTTAATAAGTAATTGCAAAATGTCCACTAGTTGTACTAGTAAGGGTCTTTTTGGCAGTACTAGTTAACTAGTTAGATAAATTGTCAGTCACAAGTTAACTAGTAGTCAACAGATCAGACTACTAGTTGACATCTGTGTTCAACTAGTTAACTAGTAAAGGGTTTTAACTGTTCAGCATGTAAACTTGTCAAATTATATCATTCAACTAGTTTACTAGTCAAAAGCAAATGTCCACTAGTATGCTGTTTTGTCTGCAACTAGTTTACTAGTGCCACACAAAGTCTTCAACTAGTTTACTAGTGAGGCCAAAAAGACACTAGCTAGTTTAACTAGTGGACAAAAAGGCACTTACTAGTTTACTCGTAAACTGTATAGGGCTTTACTAGTAAACTAGTAAGGTTAAAACCGCCCTCAGTAGTGTGACTAGTTGACATTTTAGCTGCTACATGTTAACTAGTAAACGTTTCCGAGCCTCACTAGTTAACTAGTAGGTTTAAAAATATTCCAACTAGTGTTACTAGTTGACACATTTTATCTTACTAGTGACCTAGAAAGGTAAAATGCATCTTCACTAGTGTTACTAGTTACCATTATGAGATTAACTAGTTAACTAGTTAGCATTTGTTCTAACTAGTTAACTAGTAAAATGAAAACAGATATCGACTAGTAAGCTAGTTCTAATCCTGCAATCCAACTAGTTGACTAGTGTGCAATATGTAAATGCAGTGGGTGGGATTATAACCAAATCCTGGGTCCTGATTTGATGTTATTTTTGTTCTTGATTTTTAGAGCCTATCATAAGCCTCAATCCACACTTATCCCCCACCTCCTCGTTACCATTTTGTGCAACAAGTGTTACTAGTGACATTTTAGATCTCGCTAGTTTACTAGTAAAATATTTAAGTCTCACTAGTTAACTAGTACGACTTGTAAAGATGATACTAGTGCAACTAGTGGACATTTGTTCTCTTACTAGTTAACTAGTGAACATTTAGAGCCGCACTAGTTAACTAGTAAGACTAATAAAGCCATCTCTAGTACAACTAGTGGACCTTTCTGCTCTTACTAGTTAACTTGTAAAAACTTTTTATCCTAACTAGTTAGCTAGTATGGTCCATATATATGCCTTTCTAGCTTACTAGTGGACATTTTGGCTCTTACTAGTTAACTAGTAAACATTTTTAGGCTCACTAGTTAACTAGTAGACACAAAATATATCTTACTAGTTAACTAGTAGATATTTTGCACCTTACTAGTTAACATGTAGGACTTTTTGCCTTCTACTAGTTTACTAGTAAGTCTTTCAACGTTCTACTAGTAAACTAGTGCGGCCAAAGACTTGACTAGTACAGGAAACTGAGCTTTGATATCAAGGATATCTATTAAATCTTCAATCGGCTTGATGCACACATGTTTTTACCTGGTTCCATTGACTTGAGGCATGAATGCTGGTACATTAGGACCCCGGAGGATGTCAGCATTAAGCCATACAGGTCTGTTTATTTCACTGCTGCTGTTCTTCATTCTCAGCAGGTCCAATGAATGACCCACAGATGCCAGAGACTTAAAATCCAATTTAATGCCTGCAGAGAGACACAGAACATTAACATCTGGGTTTTAACTCTGAAGACTCTCTTTCACATTTCTGTTTTATGATACTGAAACATACCTTTTCTAGAAGCTAGAACAGCATTTAACCATTGGTCCAGAGTGTTGTCACTGTATATGTCGGGAGGGTGGGCCATGATTGGGATTGGCTTCTCATTGGGTGTTCCATAACCCTCCAGAGTGACATCGGCCTCCAGAATCATGGAATCGCCTGAGGGGGAGAAAGATGGACGTTTAGGGTTTGCTGTCTTGATGTTTTTGTTAAACACAGTTTATAAACTTCATATCAGAGTTGGTGATGTTTGACTTCACAAAATCCACCGTCAACACATTAGTCAGTGGACGTCCTGAGACTAACAACACCTTCAAAGTATCAGGATTTGTTTGTGTGTACGTGGGAGGGAGTTTACTTGTGAGCGCTTTGTTCATTTCTTCTTTGCGGTTAGCTCTGTGAAACCAGGACGCCAAGAGGCCATCTTGTTTGCTGATAACACCCGACTGAACCAGGAAGTCCAGCATGTCTCCACCAGTTGAAAATGAGGAGAGAGGAGCTGAGGAGTCTGATTGGTGAGACAAATACAGGTTCATGTAAGACATTAACAACAGCTGTGACTCAGGAGGTAGGACGGGTCAGCCACTCACAGATAGATCTGTTGTCCAGTCTACTGAACGTTAACCTGTGTTGCCTTTAGTGGTTGTACGACTATAAGCTGCTACATTAATGCTGTCCATTATCATAAACTTCATAAACCTAGACATTAGGAAAGAATGATCTCTCAGAAACTGAGTGCATGACATGTTTAAACGAAGCCATCATATAAACACTACACACACATAACAATTTTCCACTTTGGTATCAGTATCAGTTGATGACAGATCACTTAACTCTGAGTTCTCTCTATCATGAAAATCTACAACAGCTGTTGCCTTGTGATGGACATGTGGTGCATTATGTCATTAAAATTAACCGTGCATGTAATCACAAGAACCGTAAAAGCCCTGATCAAACACAACTTTGAACAATGGAATTCATATCATTAAAATATCAATGTTACAGTTATTACAATATGACTAATCAAGTGGAGTATGATAAGTGTTTGATCCTGTGTAAATGTTAAATGGACTTAAGCTTATATAGCGCTGTTCTAGTCTTCTGACTACTCAAAGCGTTTTTACACATCAGGTCACACATCCACATTCATACACTGATGGTAGAGGCCGCTGAGTAAGAGTCCATCAGTATTAACTCATCCATTCATACACATTCACACACTGATGGTAGAGGCTGCTGAGTAAAGAGTCCATCAGTATTAACTCATCCATTCATACACATTCACACACTGATGGTAGAGGCTGCTGAGTAAAGAGTCCATCAGTATTAACTCATCCATTCATACACATTCACACACTGATGGTAGAGGCTGCTGAGTAAAGAGTCCATCAGTATTAACTCATCCATTCATACACATTCACACACTGATGGTTAGGCCATCGAGAACAATTGGAGGTTTAATGTATAGAATACTTTGACATGTAAACCTTCGGAATGGCATATACGATTCTACCACTGACCCACTGTCAACATCTGCTTAAAACTACCCTAGTGATATTTAATTCAACAAGAGGGCTAAATATAGTGTATCATAAAATATCTGGCTAATACGTACCTGACTTCCTGATCAAAACCACAGCCGTGACAGAACCAATAACCAGCAGGACGACAAGTCCAACAGCCACAGATATCATTATCAGCTGTTGCTTTGTTAGACATCCAAGATAAAGGTCTTGCTGTGATTTTTGTCTTACGCCATTACGTTGGCTGCTAGATTGAAGCCCTGAACTGAAAGAACACAACAACATGAACATTTAGAATTTCCATATTCTGTTCTTAAGTATGATAAATATTCATATTGCATGTTGCTTTGACCTGTCAGGATGATCTTAACTAGGTTTGCTGATTGATCTCTAACTGACCTGTTTGGCTTTTCTTGTGCGCCTGTCTCTTCGTGTCTTTGGTTGTCCTCTCTTCCAGCCATCCTCTTCTGGCTGCTCTTTAGTGCGCTCAGGATTTAAATGGTAAATGGACTTAAGCTTCTATAATTTAGAGATTCTTCTTTTACTAGGAGCCGCAGAGCAGACTGAACCTTCTGGTCATATGAGCTTTATCTAAAGAGCAGAGATCAGCGTCATCTCGCTGATAAGACACACATACACACACACACACACACACACACACACACACACACACACACACACTCTCTCTACAGTGTCTCCGCCCTGACAGACCAGGTGAGAGCTGGTACACTATGAAACACAGACGACTCTGACGGCAGCTCTGTGATCTAACATTAACTTTTAACCCATTAATGCCCACAGTGGAGTCTTGATTGATTTCCGTTGAAATCTTTCAAATCGGTCAAAGTATGAGGGTGTTTATCTTAAACCACTTTCTAGTCATCTGGGCGCTGGTGGCGCCCATGTATGGAAGCTGTAGTCCTGTGGCTCCTTTCCTGCATGTCATTCTCCACTCTCTCTCTGATTCCTGTCTCATTGGTCCCGAGGGGTGGCTGGGTTTGACTTTTTTTTTTTACAGCATAACCTCTGATTGATTAGATTAGGAATATTATATCTTCATTTCTCTTCATAAATGGGATACATGCCAACAAAAAAACAAGTTTGACATATTTTCCTCTTTTTGCTGATTTTTTGTGCCATTTTCTATCGTTGAGTTTCTTTGTGGGTTCACGAGGGGATTCAAGGTGAATATCAATTTGAGACCACTTGATTTACTGAAAGATTTGTCTGTTTTGTTTTTCAAATATCAGGTCATATCCCAGAATTTGTAATTTTCCATTCTATCTACATTAATATCAGAGTCTCTGCTGGTTGAGGACTGGGTCAGAACTGGTTCCACCACGTCTTTCTGTTTGTCGTCAGCAGGTGCCCACTATCCTGATAAACATCTGCATCATTCTTACATTATGTTAATAAAATAATACAACATTTTTTTTTAGCACAAATTCAGTTTAAAATAAAGGTCCAGAGGGATATAAACTTGTGTGTGAGTCGTGGAGATAAATATATCCTAAATCAGATTCTCAATCAGTCTTTATTTGTATAACGCTAATTTATAACAAATGTAATCTCAAGACATAAAGCAGGTAAAGACCTTACTCAGATTAAGGTTATGTAAGATTTTTACTATTTCCATGTGTAACATTTCTTTCAGATGGTGTAATAAATGTTTTGTCAAAGAGAGAGAGAACACGAGCTCATGGAAACATTCAGATTTAATGAATTCAACATAAGAACACATTTGATTTGTAATGAAAACTATTAGGTATAAAATACCCTGAGTTAAAGAATCTAATAAATATATACTGTTTATATAAAATGCATTCATGATCAATAAGTGACTTGAATCATTTTTCAACATCAGAAAAAAACAATGGACTTATCTTCAAGCTTTGCATCAGCCGTAACGACCAGATTCTGAGCTATGAGACCGAACCCTCCAAAAGCAATGATTATATTTCTGAATTTTAACAACAACTGCTCAAAAAGAAACAATGTTTGCTTTACAGGATGAGCAATGATGCTGCAACAACAAAAAAAAAAAAACAATCAGAAAAAGTTTTATTATTAACAATTTTTGTCTCATTTTTCTTTTTGAAATCTTTTGAACTTGGTTGTACGTAAACTGTGACATCACTGTTTACGTACTGCTGATCAAGTCCTTGGAAGGTTTTCTTGGTGCAGGAAATTAACTGAAGCTTCAGGGCTTCAAATTCAGGAAACAGTGACATCTGGTGTCGTGTTTAAACATCCTTTAGTAGACACCCTTCTTTAGATAAAGTGGTAACTTGCACATTCTGTATTAAAGGGAATGATGGATTACAGCCCAGAAAACAGACAAAGGGATATTTTTGGGTCATAGGGCAGGACACTTTTTTAAATGTATTTTATTTTTTTATTTGATGCCTTTTATTTGATGCATTGTTTTCTAATCTTGCTTAAAATACATTGCTTTTAATGTTATAATTTTTTCAATGTAAAAGAAAAGAAAATGCGAAGTGAGAGTGCAGTACTGGTGCAGGTCAGAGCTGCTGATGAAGGAGTGGACCAGAGAGCAGAGATTGAGCAGTTTATAGAGACGGCCAATAGGAAGGAGGTGTTGTCAGGTGATGCTGAATAATGACACGAATCAAGAGTGAAAACAGTGCAGGGTTGACTGACTGAACCAGCTCACAGGCGTCGCCTCATTTAATTAAATGATTAATAGTTATTCAAAGTTTTTACAAGTTAGAGAAAAAACAGACCAAGAAAAAGGCTACAGGCCTGTACGGTGGCCTAAAGGTCAACTGCAAAAATATGTAATGACATGCAAGAAAACATTTAATGTAATATAAAAACTATTGCAATTCATTAAATATTTTTGTGTTTACTGAACTGTTTTTGACTTTTTTTGAAGTTGACCTTCAGGGCCACCGTACTGATGTGATCTAACATCAAAGCATTATTCAGGCAGGAGGTGAAAGGACCTACAGGTGGCTGTGATAGTTTGTGGGTGTTCAAAGATAACTCCAGTTGAACACAGACTATGTTTAATAATTATAATTCATTTATGATTGGCATTAAGTTGATCAAAGTTTTCTGTGAAAAAGTTAAAAATAAAAACTGCACATTTGTACATAACAGCAGCCGATCACTGCAATGCTGGTGAAAGTGACTTTTTAAGAAGTCGCTGTGTAAACTCTGAGAGATGTTATAACTTCACTTTGAGTTCTTTAAACCTCTCAAGCCTTCAGGAAAAGACGATAAAAACACTTTCTGCTTCTTCTATGACACTTTTGTTTCCCGATTGCAGATTCTGTTTCACCAAAAGACGTGTCAGCTTCTAAACAAAATACATTAAAGAGACAAACGATTCTTCATCTTCTCCGGTGATTTCACTCCTGAGTGTTGAGTCTATCCACCTCGCTGTGAAAAAGGAAAGTGTTATTTATTTCTCATAATGAGGATCTTTGCTTTGGTTACTTTATTTTGCTGATAGTACTTCTGTACTCTTCCTGAAAGACCGTAATATTATGAAAGAAAGGATCAGAGTTGTTGTTGTTGTTTTTGTTAACTCACCCATTATTACAGCTCTTGCCACAGTTGTTTACCTTCATGGTTAATGACCTATACGTCCACTACCATATGTATGTTTTCTACCAGAGCTGACCAATAAGCCCTGCTTAGCTCTTCATGTTCATGTGAAGTTCAGATGTTAAAAGTTCCTTTACTCCATAAAGTTGACCATGAAAACTTATTGAGTCGTTGAACCTCTTTAAATTAAAAGTGCAAACACTTTTGACAATAAGTCATCATAATATTTTTCAAGGTACCACATAAGTGGGCCTTGGTTTTCTTTAAGGTGGAAGAAGAGCCACTAACCACTTATTCTATCAAAATGAAGGACAAACATAACTTTGAAGTTCAAACCACTGAGTCAACGAACAGAGGGAGACCCAAAATGGCCGAAAGAAAAAAGGTGTTTTCAAAACACATACTTAAATGAGAGCTTCTTTCACAAACAAAATCACAGACAGCCAACTGATGGTGTTAACTCTGTGGATACACAAAGAAGCAGTCCACCTGCCTGTAGCCTCCAAACCCAGCTGACTGTCATCAGCCATCAGGTGAGCAGAGCATCTAAGGTGCAGCTTCTGACGAGCAAGGAAACCTGTGACCTAGTTCCCTTGGGTATCTATCCATAACACTGATTAAAGTGTAAGGCCAAGACAACATGTACTTGTTAGCAGTCCTGCTTTAGACTCCGTCGACTGAACTTGTGAAGAGAAGAGGTCAGGGAATGATGGCGGGCCTGGCACTGAACAGACTGAGGCTGAAGGGACTGGAGAGAGAAACAAAGAGAGTGTCTGTGAGGTGAATTCAGAGGCCGTGGCACAGAACTAAAAAGAGTTTACACCCTAACTAACTTCAGACAGAACATATACAGAGCACACTGTTTTCATTTACTAGCAGAAAATTGGATCTTAGCACCTTTCTGCCCTGACTCCCCTCCCTCTGAGGACTTCTAGCTTCCCTTTTATTTCCTGGTCCTGCTCAGAGACAGAGGAGAGTGGGACAGTGAGGGAAGCTTTTCTCATAAGATAATGAGGAGGACTCAATCTGTAGCTCCAGGTCCACATCAAAGAATGAATATAAAAAGAAAGAAATCAATTTGATGATTTCCATATAATGCTGAAATATTCACCACAGCAATGTGTTGTAAGAGGTAATCCTGACGTCTGCATTAAGGTGTCACACAGTTAGGATATCAGTTTCCTGGTTCAGCTGATCTAACAGACAACATTTGAAAAGAAACAAAAGCATGGACACTCACCTCTTGACCTGTGTGGCGGACGAGGAGGAGCTTCGTACCAGCTTCTTGGAGGAGGAGGGCGATAAGGTGAAGGGGAGGGCATTTAGGGGACTTTGGAGGTGGCAGAATG